ATTGTAATAATGATTACAATTTTTAATGTTTGAAAAATAAAATCTATATAATGAAAGGAAAAACAAAAATTTCTACTTTAATTTTCCTGCGGTTTTCATTTTGATTAGAAATTGCATTTTATAATTTTTAAATATGGTTTGTTTCTCTTTCAAACTTCTGGAAACTGTTTAAAATAGAATATTTTACAATAATTAAGTTTTATCTGTAATATAGCAATGAATAAAAATGTAGTAAAATTATTTCTATTTTTATAAGTTAGAATTTTTTTTTAAACTCTCAAAAGCATTTCTGAAATATGCCACAGTGTGTTTCTATACAAGAAAGTTAAAAACTATAGATAATTCAGCGATTTTTGTATGTAATGCGGTTCACGTTTCAGTTTAAAAAAAAGTGAAACTCAACAGTCAATTTCTAACTTTCTATGCAACAACTTATTACGCAACTCACAGCTAGGAAATAAATTAATCTAAAGTTCATCTTTAATTTGGAGAAATATAAATTTATAATTAAAATTAGGTAGCATTATGTTAAAGCATTATTTTTTAAATTTATTGTTTTTGAAAAATAAAATTTTTATCGAAATTGAAATGCATCCTTAATCTGATTCTTAAATATTTAAAATTATTGCAAAATTGTTAACTAGACTTTCAGAATTCACTATATTTTACAGTTATAGTAAAGGAATGTAACTGAAAATCAAGTTTGCAGTCTATTTGGTTAAATTTGAAATCGCCGGGAAGAATAAATACATGAATGAAAAATCAACGTCAAATTATGTGTCGAAAACTGTCTGAAACATTTGGAGGTTGCATTGTTTCGCATGCACTGTATATCAATTTCCTGTACATTCCTTTTTTTTAAATTGGATACAAAAATCATTAAGTGAAACGGAAAGGGCTTTCAATGTAAAAAGCGTTTGAAATTGGCATCCACCTCAATCTCACATTTCTCCACATCCTGTAAAATTATTTAACGAAAATTGAATAATTTCTTAGCACTTTATCTCTCTTAAAACATCTTTGTTTCATTTTTTATCATCAAAAGAATATTTTGTACAGAAATTGCAAAAAGTTTATATAGTTAATTCTTTTTATAGAATAAGCTCAATATATTTGTATAGAATAATAATGTTTAATAATAATAATAATAATTTTTGTTATTAATATTATTATCATGAGCAAAGCTAAAGCTTCTATCATTGCTTGAAACGATAGTGACTTCCGGTCGCAAATCAACTCTCTCACGTTTATGGTCACATCCCCATGGTTAGACCGGTAGTCATGGGGTTCGTTTGACTATATGAGAGAGAACAGCAAAGTGTGCTCTTACTACCCTGTGAGTTGCTGCGAGTCGTCACGCTTGCTGACCGCAACTATACGAGGGCTGCCAGCTCTCTCCACCTCGAACAATCAGCTCCGCAATTTGGTCAAGTTCGCACAACTCAAACCACAACTTGAGTAATGCGAGATCCAGCACTTGAGTAACATCAGTCTACTAATTTCTCTTGATAACAATATTCACGCATAGAAAAATATCATTTTGTTCCCGTCTGTCTTATTTCAACTGAGATCAAACCGTTTCGTCAACTTATAATAAATTTAACTCAATTATTTATCTTATATCATCTTTCATTTGAACAAAAATTTATCTCGTAGTTTGGAGTAAGTGTGTTATGACGCATTTAGACAAAAACTTCTAAAGGTCTTTTCATTATCATGTTTATTTATAAAACTTCTAATTTCAAGTTGTAAAACACTTGTGTAGCCATGTATGTGAGGCTTAAGACAGATCACAGTGGGTCAGAATTGCTAGTTTTTGGCCAAAATTGATAATTCTCAAAAATCGTGAAAGTATGCCAACTAATTATGCTATCTATTGTTTTTGGGGTCACTGATTACGAAAATAACCTTAGTTTTCAAAATTAAAAATGGCGGATCAAATATGTCGGACATCAAATTAAAAAAATTATCCAATTTTGATGAAACTTAATATCAGAGGGTTTTCGGAGTCGCTGATTACGAATATCAACACAGAAAAAACTTGGTGTGATTTTTGTTGCGTGTGAAATTAGCCAATGTTAAACGACATAGAACGTGGCGCCGCCTACGAGGGAAAAATTTGTTGCGTGTTATTTTCTGTGAAGTCAGATTTTAAAATTTTAAATGTCGGATATCAAATTAAAAAATTTATTTAATTTTCATGAAACTTGATATCGGGGGGTTTTTGGGGTGGTTGATTATGAATATGAAGTTAGATTTAAAAAATTAAAAAAGCGGATCAAAAAAAGACTATTCAATTTTAATGAAACTTTATATTAAATATGAATTTTAAAAAACTTGATATAAATCTGCCTTTTGAATTTTTAAAATCTGACTTCTTATTCATAATCAGCGACTCCAAAAACCCTCTGATATTAAATTTCATGAAAATTTATTAATTTTTTAAATTTTTACTTCTGCCATATTGGATCCGCCATTTTGAATTTTTGAAAACTAAGATTATTTTCGTAATCAGCGACCCCAAAAACAATAGATAGCATAATTAGTTGGTATAAATTTCACGCTTTTTGAGAATTATCAATTTTGGCCAAAAACTATAGAGCGATTCTGACAAAAATAATTAGAATTCTGACTGTGCACTGTGGAGCACTCTAAATCTACACTTTTCCCAATCAAATTTTCCCAATGGACATTTCTCCCAAAAAGTGCTGTTCCTAAGTTTTTTTTCCTATTTTTTTTCCAAAAAAATCATGTTCTCAAAGAACATTTTTCCCAATATTTTTAAAATAATGTTCTTAAGCGGAATTGTCATTCCCAAACCATTTTTTTCCAAAAAATCATGTTCCCAAAGAACATTTTTCCCAATGTTTTAAAAATAATGTTTCATTCAACTAATTTCAAAGTTTTGTTTATTATTTGCCGATTGCCAATATAAATAAATGTATTATAGAATATTTATAAAAGTTGACATGACATTTGAGTCAGACCATTATATATTTCGAATAAAGTCGTTGCCGTTTTTATCAATTAATTACAAGAAGGTGGAATTATTAAGTTAAATAAAAACTCACCAAATATAGAGTATTTTTGCGTATTTTGCAACTTAATATCTCCGTTAAAGAAAAATAAAAAAATTTGACACTTTCACAACTTTTAAATCATTCATTTCTAAAAGTATCAATTTTTTTAAAAATTAGGCAGCAACGACTTTATTTGACATATAGGTAATGGTTTGTCCAAATTATAATTTTTATTTACAAAATTACAAATTTTCATTACTGCCAAAACAACAAATGTTATGAAAATTATTGCCACAACCCGCTTTTAATTTGTTTCTTACATTCGTTTATTCTCAGTTAATTTAATTAATTAAAAAAAATTATTTTGAGAAAAATTTCTTTGGGAACATGATTTTTTGGGGAAACACTTCTCTTTGGGAAAAGTGTCGATCTACCCTTTAAAACATCTCTTTTTTATTCAATAATAAACAGACATTCTAAGCATAATGTGCATAATCTAAGCTTTTTTAAACAAAAATGAATCATGAAGAATTGCATTTGTGTTTAAGTTTAAGATTATGTCTTTCGAAAAATTAAAATTGTATAATCATACAAAATATTTACGATAAAATTTTTTTTTTCTAGTTAAAATCAAAATGAGCAAAAAGAAGCATAGAACGCCAGAAATTTAAAAAATAAAATTTCGTATTCAAAGAGTTGTATAATTCTTCTCAATTAATATAATGTAAAACTATTGCAGTATTTAATGTAGAAACTGTATAGAAAATATGTAATATAGGGTAAGTCCGGAAGAGATGGCCATAGTTTTTTTAAAGTACTGTAAAAATTATAGAAAAGCGATTTATGTCTAAACTTTTATTAATAATTAAACTAATAAAATAAAATATTTTAATAAGAACAATCTCAAAATTTACATTTTGTAAAAAGTGCATTTGGCCATCTCTCCCGGAATGTCCGGGTGAGATGGCTAATGTTTATAATGTTTTACTTTTAGCTTAAACTTAAATTTTAATTGTTCAAATTACTTTTCTCTTATTCTGGTCACATTATGAACATTTATCATGGGATTCAGTGCAGTTTTTATGTAGACAAAAATTTCAAATTCAATCTTCAATCAATGTCGTTTGATTGTAACTTTAAATTCAACCTACAAATATAACTCCATCTCTAATGTCAATTAGATCAATTATTTTGCTCTCGGACACTTTAAATTTGTTTTTCTTTAATATTTCTTAAGTATCTAACATTAACATAAAATTTTTTTAATAAAATTCATTAATGGCCATCTCACCCAATAATACATGACAAAAGTAAACATCAAAATATTAAATAAATAAAATAACTTTTCCATCCATTTTTTGTGTATATACAATCGAAGCGTGGGTTGTGCACTACTCAATAAAACTTCAAATTAAAAAATCCGTTAAAAAATAACAATATAGCAATAAGAAATCTGAAATTCTTAAATTATTTTGGACCCATGCAAAAAATAAATAGAAGGATTACGCTTACATTTTCACTATTTTTCAACAATTTGTTGTGTACATTTATTAGTAGTGCCAAGCAGTTGAAGAATAACTCATAATAAATGATGTTTATTAACAAATTCTGTAAAATATTTCAACTGGCCATCTCCCCCGGAATTACCCTACATCTTATTTAATTTAAATCAAGTTAAAAAATTGCCTTTTCGGCTAAAAATGTTGTTTTAGCGAGTATATGAAAGCGTTGATAGACAAGAAAATTTGTAAAAACCATTTTATTGTTATCAGGTGGTCTTTGAGTGAGAATATGCAGCAAACTATAAGTCTCTCTCCAAAAAAAAAATTTCAAATTTGTCTTTTTATATACGTATACCCTAAGAAGTTTACAACGAATTTAATACATTCAGAATCCTTATGAATACTAACCAAACATATTAAAATATTCTATATTTTGAAAATATTGTAGCATTATTATAATCACAGTCTTAATTTTCAGGTCATGGTGGAGTGAATCAACTCGGAGGTGTTTTTGTTAATGGAAGACCCTTACCTGATGTGGTAAGGCAAAGGATAGTTGAGCTAGCACATAGTGGTGTTCGACCGTGTGATATTTCCAGACAGCTTAGGGTGTCTCATGGCTGTGTATCCAAAATACTGTCGAGGTTAGTAGAGCAATATTTATATTTGCTACCAAACAAATTCATTTTTATTTTTTAACCCTGAAATTAAAATCGGGCACTTGACTTTTTTTAAACAGAATATTTCCATTTACATATTCCTAACTTGTTGCTTTTGATTATCATGAAAGATTGGTGTATTTGAGTCGTTTTCACTTAAAAATAAAAAAATTAAGGACACGCGATCTTGATTTCTTTCAACCACCTGTAACTAAATTATTCTGTTTGATGGCTTGGCGGTTTTTTTTGAGTATAGAGTATTCATTTTACATAATAAGTTCTTCGGCATTTATTACGTGAGAAAAATCGATATTTATTGATAAACAATTCTTCATTTCATGGTTGCGGACATAAGACATCAGTAACTTTCATCCCGAAATTTGTCTGTCACATATTTGTTAAGTACTTTTAGTGGTTAGAAAAAAAAAGATTAATTGACTGTAATTTTCTAAATATATAAATGCATACTTCAGGCTGAACAATGACGTTTGAAATTTAATCACCCTTTTATTTGATAATTCATGTATAGGCATATTAAATAAGGGGTTGCATGACTAAAGGGATCAAGTGTTAATTTTTCGAAATTAAGATTTTTTGATAAAAAAATCAAGTAAATTCATTTACACGATTCTATAAAAAGATTTTCCTTTAAATAGTTTTTAATAACAATTAAAATGATAAAATATAATGAATTTTTACTTATAATTCTCCAATTGAAAAAGGAAAAGAAATCAATATTATTATAAATAATTATTAATATTATCAATATTATTATAAATAAGGTTGAAATATGGTTTTTTATATCCTTAAATGTTTGAAATTTTTATGTTTAAATTATATATTTTTTAAAAAATTTATATTAAAAGAAAATATGCACATTTGATTTAAAGTATATAACTACCTAATTTAGGAATGATTTTGTTCTAAAAAATTTTTCTTTCATTTAACTTTTAATTGTTTATGAAATATAGTTCCAGCCTTTTGCAAGTGTGGCATTACAAAAAGTCATCTTGTATTAGCTCATAGAAAGTTTATTTGAAATATTAGTCAAGAGTTTTTAAAAAAATAACGAAATATTCGTAACTCCTTCAAACATAGTCTATTGTCACAAAACTATTGCAAACAATCTGTCGTAAACAAAAGAATTTGGATATTTTTAAAAAGATATATCATAAATACACTTGAATTTGCATTGTTTTCTTGAAATTGTTAATATTTCTAAAATAATTAATAGATTTTTAAGTTTTTTTTTAACTAAAAAGAAGCCATGCAGATATAAAAATATGTTAATTTAAAAAAAAAACAATTTGATCTTTAATAGAAGAGAGTAAATTAAAACATTTTTTTAGTACTTTTAAAAGTTAAGCAAATACTTAGTATTCAAGTCAGACTTTTTGCAGAATTTAAAAAAAAATTCGTTACATTTAAATACATTTAATTTTTACATAGTTTAGCAAATAATTGATTTTTGCAATCTTAAAAAAGTAGTCTTCGCACAATTTATATGATTGCCCGAATTGTGGAGTTTATTTGTGTGTACGGATATTTTGAGTGAAAAAGAATAACTAGGAAAATAGTATAAAGATATCAAATCGCATCATCATTCAGTTCATAGCACAGGATGTGAACAGGGAGATTCATAATTTACAGGAAAATGGAGGGTTCGTTCTTTGAAATATGGGAAAAGAATTTTAGTAGTGGTCAAGTCTGCGAAAAGAATTATCATTTTTGAATAATTATAATTATTATTAATAAATAATAATAAGAATATAGTGACAAAAGTAATAAGCCTTGAAATTTGATTCAACATATTCTAACAATTGTATTCTATGTATAATAAATGTATCACCAATAATGACGTGATAAGTATTACAAGTGCGAAATTTTTTAAATATAGATCGAGTCTCCCTAGATATGAGATTTTTGAAAGACTTATATACTTGTTCATAATTTTGCCCCAGAGGGGGAAAATACAATACATTTTCCGCCATCTCAAAGTAGTGACACGTGATACCCCAATGGTTTTTCTATTCGGTAGGGGCGAAAATAAAGTTTGATTCCCGATAATCCTGCTTCTAAGAGGGCTCCACTTTTTGCTTTATATTAAGAAATATACAAACGCAGAACATTTTTTAATGAACCGACAGAGTTAGAAATATTCTTCATTAGTGGAGCTTTTTTAATTTTATAATTCATAAAAATTCATTTTTATTAAATATTTCAGATGTAATAGAAATTTAAATATCATTAGTTTGCACTAAAAGTATGTATTTTATCACTTCAAAATTAATTACCATAATCTAAAATTTGGCGGGAGGCAGAGATTCCTTTCACCGTAAAGGCGTGTCACATATTGAAAAACATAAGTGTTTCTTAATTTCGGTTTACACTTAATAATTTCATCTTTAAATTTTGCAAATATTATATAATTTATGAAACATAATTAATTTTGCTAAGTTTATTTTATTGCTAGAATTACATATTGCGAACCTAAAAATAAAATATTACTTTTTTTATTTTGTGCAACAAAAAACTCGTCTTATTGTAAGTTTGAGATGATTTAATTAGAGTACGCCAGAGAGGGAACTTTAGCGTACGGAAAGGGAACCGACAAAAGCTGTGGCTTCATGGAAACCGGAAGGAAGATCCTGGGTCGCGTGATGGAGACAGCGTAATGTCTTTTGCATGTTTTTTGCTTGCACACTTCACCCTGTGTTAAGATTGTGGTTGCCTCGTGCCACATTGATGATCAAATATATATATAATCACTTATCAAAAGAAGAGAAAAGTATATCATTGTTATCTTAGTTATCTTTCATGTCGTATATACATAGATACAATAAAACAGAATAAAACATTATATACGCAAACTAAAAGAAACAAAACGAGTTGAAAAAATTTAACGTTGAAACTTATTTTTGTATAGAAATGTATAAATATATCTTTAATATTCGAAAATATAAATTTGTATGGTGAGAAATTAAAACAACCAAATATACCTATATGAAAAATAAGGACGAAAAGAATAAAAAGTTACAAAATTTAAAAAATTATTTACCACATCACAATAAAATGCTTTACATATTAACCCGTTGACTGTCGCTGACGCATATATGCGCAAAACTAAACTGGCCAAAAGTGGTTCATGACGCATATATGCGCAACTTAAAAAAGGTGATTAAAAACTTCTTAAATGTTCCTGAAACCGGTTACTCGGGGGTTTTCGAGGTCGCTGATTACGAATATGATATTCGTTTTCCAAAATTCAAAATGGCGGATCCAATATGGCGGACAACAAAATAAAAAATTGATCAGATTGACTTGAAACGTAGTACTCGGGGGTTTTTAGGGTCGCTGATTACGAATCTGACATTAGTTTTCCAACATTCAAAATGGCGGATCCAATATGGCGGACGATAAAATAAAAAATTAATTATAATGGCTTGAAACTGAATACTCGGGGGTTTTTAGGGTCGCTGATTACGAATCTGTCATTATTTTTTAAGGGTATTTATCGAAATTTGATTTCACCAAAAATTATCATACTGATGTCAGATTAACCAGTTTCAAACAAATTCAATCAATTTTAAAAAATTTTCCACCATATTGAACCAGATATTTTGAATTTTGAAAAACTGATTTCAGATTCGTAATCAGCGACCCTTAAAACCCCCCGAGTAACAAGTTTCAAGCAAATTCGACGAATTTTGAAAAAATTTCCGCCATCTTGGATCCACCATTTTGAATTTCGAAAAACTGATGTCAGATTCGTAATCAGCGACCCCAGAAACCTTAGGGTACCAAGTTTCATAAAAATCCATTAACAATTTTTTCATCACTCTTTTGGCCCAAACAGTGGAAATCTCGTTGACAGCCAAGGGGTTAAATTCGCACAGTTATTACTGGAACGTCGACTTTTGGAGAGCGTTTCGTCAAGACTAAAATCGTTGTACAGAAAAATAAAACTCTAGATAAATTGCAGGAGTCAATGAACTGAGATGTAAACAACACGTGGCAATGACAATATTTTTGAAAAAGAAAGTCAATCATGAATTTAGTTTGCTTATAAGGGGAAAATAAATTTTATTTTAAGTTTAAATTATCTTCTTTTTAGGGTTCCGTACCCGGTAGGAACCTTATTTATTAATTGTATGTTTGTTAATTTTTATATGAAGCATTGCAGAAAAACATCGTTTATATAAGGTAAACAAACCTTAGGAACTTGTTTGTATAACAGATTTTTAGTTTTAACAATCATTGTTTATTAAAATTTTATTAATTTTCATTAGTTTGTCTTTGGTGAAAAGAATGGTGTGATAATAAGGTTGCTCTGTCCGTGAGATTATATATATACTATATTTACTTTTTGTTGTGATAGACGATTTGAAAAAAAATTGATAAGTCTGACAGAGGAAGATGGTTTTTTGTACCAGTTATAAGTAATTTTATTATTTTTTTTATTTATAGAAATATCCAGATAGTTAATCAGAATTGTTTTCTTGAAGTTCATAAATGGATTTTAATTTTTGATGTTAAGAATTAAATATGTCGACTACAACATTAATGTGACCTTTATGTATACACAAAATGGTATCAACATAACAATCGCTTTCCTAATCATCCATATCAATATCAGCAAAAAACGAAAAAATTGTAGAGCCCATAGGGGTACCCTTTCAATTTGTTGATAATATTTACCATCGAAGACAAAAAATGTATTTTCGTAAATAAATTTAGTACAATGTAGGATGTCATTAAACGGAATTTTACAATTATTTATTGATGTAACTCTGCTTTAAATACTTTGCGTAACAAGTTCAAGAAGTACATTAGTGAAAAGTGATGCAACATCGAAAGAAATAAACATGTAGTCGTCTGGAATATTTATATTTTCAATTTTTGCAATAAGGTCAAAACTGTTGTCGATATGAGTTTTTGGAGTGTGAATATTATCTTTTAGTTCATTACATAGTGTTGTTGCTAAAAAATGCGTTGGACTCTTAATAAGAGACACAATAGGACGGAATGGTACATCCTTTTTGTGGATTTTCGGTAATCCATAAAATCTACGTAAGACAGCGTTTGTTAAAGTCAAAGCGTTATGATGATATTTATATAGTTATAAGATATTCATTATCATTTAGATGATGAAAAATCTTAGTAGTATTAGATTGAAGTTTGCTTAAAGGGTTAATATTAAGGCGTTTGTAGGAGAAAGTATTGTTAAGTAACTTAGAAACCCCATTGAGATAAACAATATAAACAAACTGTGCTGCTACCTTTATCTGAATTAGTAAACATTATGTCTGGATTTTGTTTTAAAAACTTATTAGTTATTTTTAATTTTTTGGTGAATTCTTTATCTTCTTTAGAAATATGTGAAGTTTTATTAAATTTGTAATTGATATTATTAACAACTTTATTTCTAATCTCATCTTTGCGTTGTTAATATCCAAACAAGAATTGTCCAATTCTTATACAGGAATTCATCTTTCAAGCATTTAATCTTAATCTTTAATCATAAGAATACCACACTGGTGTTATTCATAGTAATAGAGACTATTTAACAGTTACAGGTTGAATCGATTCAGGAGAAGTTTTTATTAATTTATAGACAAAATTTCTAAATTAAATGTTTAGAAAATAAATCCCGTCGAAGATGGGTACGATAGCTAGTACATGCATACATGTAAATCGTTCAGATTATTAAATAAACATAACAACTTTTTCTTTCAGGTATTACGAGACAGGAAGTTTTAAAGCTGGTGTGATAGGAGGTTCAAAACCCAAAGTAGCTACGCCACCAGTTGTAGACGCAATCGCGAATTACAAAAGAGATAATCCAACGATGTTTGCTTGGGAGATCAGAGACAGGTTGCTTGCGGAAGGCATTTGCTCGCAAGACAACGTGCCATCTGTTTCATCAATTAATCGGTAAGTAATAGTTTGACGTGTGGTTGACCAAGTTATCAACTGATGACGAATTATACTGAAAAGTCCATGAGAAATTCAAGTTGTGTCTATCAGTGATTGTACAAAAAATTTGGGCCTTAAAGTTGATAATTTAAGTTTTCTGTTAAGCTTTCAATAATTACATTTACCACAATGTACAACAGAAATCAAATGAAAAATGTATGTCTGCACTTTATTTTTTCATAGAAATGGTATTTTAATTACCAGCCTAATTTAATGAATGCTGTTAGGTGAGACTACTTTATTTGCGTGTACTTCCATTTATACTGCTGCCAATGATCGAATGAAGTTAATGTACATATAAATTGCACGAAATTTGATACACATTACACTCAATTTCATTATTTAGCCACGAAAGGGTCTATAGAGGAAAGGGCGTGAACTGAGTCGAGTGGTAGATAAACAAGAGATAAAGCTTTAAGTAGTAACTGATTAAATCTCGAGACATATGTGAACAGATCAATGGAACCAGTTCCCCAATGTTCCTTTTCTCACTCGGTATGCTTTTCCTTGCAGTTTGTGTGATGCTGATACGCAATAATGTCATCCTAAGGGATTTGCTCCCTATGTCTACACAACCCTTCGCAATCGTACTAACACTATGTCCTGGCAACGCAAAAACATTTGAATTAATCGGATATTCCCTAAGGATACCGTTAAAGGTCAACAGAGCTAGGCTGATGGGAGTTGGTCTATTGCACTTATTTTGATGCTCCCTTTCTATCATCAATTGAGTAAAATAGACATTGATATTGCAATCTGAATAATTATTCAAACAAACATTTATAATACTTGTTTAACGGCCTTTCCCGTTAATTTAAAAATAAATAAATAAATACTTACATTATTTCTTCAATCATTTATTTCTATAAAGGTTTGTTAACTTCTTTTTTTCAGTGTGATTAATTATAGCACTAGCAACAATTCGCGCGCCAAGGCGAGTGGCTAACTTCTTACATACTTTTTTTAATAAAATTAGCAATTTTAAAAAAATAGAATTAAAAAATTTGTAATTCAAATTTTTGTTTTCATAAATATAAAATATGAATTGGAATATAGATTATTATTATTATTATAACCACAATAATCATACAAGTATTTTAAAACAGGGGATTCAAGGAAATGTCAGACAAAGTACTGGAAAAAATTAAATTTTAGAATTCATAAGAAATTTATGAATTTTGGTGTCTTTTTTGATTGCCTCATAAATTATGAAATTACTACGAATTCTATTTTTTCTGTTTCTGTCAATAATTTTTTTTAAGTAACTTGATTCTTGAACAACTGTCATAAAATTATTATTAAAAAATTATTTAATGAATAATTTTACTTAAATATTTCAAAATTAATTCACTTTTAAAAGAGTTGCTTTTATAATTTTCATAAATAGATCAACTTCAAAAGGTTTTAATTAAAAATTTTATAAAATTTCAATTTTCAAAAAATTTAATTATAAATTTTAAAAAACTTAGATTTTTGCAAAATGTTAATAATTTAAATTCTTCTTGAAATTAGTTAAATTTGTCAATATATGTTTAATTAATTTTTTTAAAAAATAATGGATTTATAGAGAAATTTAAGTTAAAAACATTTTTAAAAATTGAATTTTGGAGAAGTTACAAAAGATTGCAGAAATTCAATTATTTTCAAAAGTAATAAAGCTCATCGAAGAATTTTAATTATTTTTAGTATAATTTTAATCGAATTCCTCGAAAAATGTAATTATTCCTAAAAATTTGATTAAAATTCGTAAAATGAATTCAATTATTTAAAAACTTGTTGATACAATTCTTCATAAGAATAAAATTTTAAAAAACATTCAATTGTTCAACAAATTATTTACTTTTGTATATAAATAATTGAATAATTTTGAAAAGGTTTCAATTAAAATATTCGAAAATTTGAATTTTCTATACTTTTAACTGGCAATTTTAAAGAATTAATTTTTTTTAAATAGTTTAAAGTTACATATAAGTTACATGGAAATTTTTTCAAATATGGGAATTTTTCCAAATTCTCATAAATTTTTCTATATTTTCATAAGGAAATAATTTTCTTAAACGTTTAAAAGAATTTTTCCAAACTTTTGGGATTTTTTCTACATTATTATTGCATGCAAATGTTTCTAAATTCATAGGAAGTTTTCGATAATTTCTTTAGAAAAATTCCCATATTTATGTTAGTAAATTTTTCTGAATAATTAATAGAATTTGCTTCCTAAATTTTTTTGGGAAAATTTCCAAAATTTTATTTACAGTGTATTTAATTGAAAAATTTCCGAACATTCGAAATTTTGTAAAATTGAATTTTAAACAAATGTATTTGCAAAATCTCAAAGAACTTTTTCAAAAATTATTAAAAATAGTTGATTTAGAGAAGAACTTTAGTTAAAAATTCTAAAAAATAATAAATGAATTGCAATGATGAAAATATTTTTTAAGATGCTACAGTGACAATATTCTTAATATAAAATATTGATTATACTTTTATAAGCTGTTTAATTTCAAAATATTTGAATTTGAAATTTTTGGAAATCTTACTTTCTGTGGAAAAATAATAATTAAATATTTATTTAAAAAAGAAGTTATCGATGTTTTCCAGTAAATTAACAATTAGAGTTTGTAAATAAATGTAACAGAACATTTTTTAGAGTAAAATTTTTTCCTTTATTTTTTAAAAATTAAAAAATTTTTCAATTTCACTTTCAATTAAAATTTGTAATTGACAAATAAAATTTATAAACATTTTTTTCCTTTATTGTTAAAAAACTTTAAATTTTATTAAAGCAATTGTAATTAAGAAATAGAAATGATGCAAAAATTATTCTCTTATGAAAATTTAGAATTTTTTACAAAAATATTAAAAAAGGGGATAGAGATTTTTTTACCCAAAGAATAGAATCAGTTTGTGAACAATATATTGTTATTGACAAATAAAAATTATGCATAAAATGGATATATTTCCTATTTCTTAGTTATAATTTTTTAACAATTGACAATTTTATTTAATATTTTTATAAATAAAAAAGGGAAAGATGTTTATAATTTATATCAGTCAAACGAAATTTGTTATAGAAAAAAGCATATAATAAACAAAATTTATTTGTTAATCATAATTTTTTTTAAATTTTCTTATTTTATAATTTCAAATATTATTTTATTATAAATCACGAAAAATACCTGCATATTTTCGATTTTGAATATTTTGCACTTTAAGTCATTTAATTTGGTCCATCACGCTAAAAATAAGCTTATTTTATTTGAATGACTTTATTAGTTAACAAAATATTTTAAATATATTTGGTTATTTGAAAGTGGATCATTTTTTGCAAATGCAAAAAAAAACTCGACAGTCAAGTTTTTTTATTCTAAAAGTCTAAAAATGCCGATCTCGTGCGTTCGCAGTTTAGCTATAAACTTAAAATAGTTTGCAATAATTTTGAATGTTCGACTAAAAACGAATAAAGTTATGTACAAAAAAAGAAGAGAACGAGAGCTGCATTGAATTTGAATGAAAATGAAAGGAGAAAAAAAATTAAGAAAAAGAAGAGATTTTATAGTGCGTTAATGATGATGAGGCCCACAATTTAATTTCTGCACAGGCTAGAAAAAAGAGTGAAGAAAATAATTTAGAATCATTTTTCTTTCGAGGAAATGAGTATCAAACTTGGATTATTTTGAGTTTACGATTTTTTTTTCAGTGAACATACTTTCTAATATATTTCCCAAGATTCCCGAGACATGTGTCTAAATCAAGCATACAGTCAAAACTAATACCAAAACACTATTATTTATGAATCCTTGTCTATGTTTCTATATTTGTTATTTGATCTGCTGAAATATAATGCCCAGCATATGCTACATTATATTGTAAGTGCCAGTAGGAAGAAGAAGAAAAAAGAAGAGAGGCAAAATTGTGATTAGAGAGGAAGTGAACTAAAGCGAGAGAGAAAATATACAGAAAAATAGAGAGTGAATTCTGCTCTTTCATGATATGTGAGGCGAAAGAAGCATGAAGGATTCTCGGAGGAAATATTGATAGGCTTGGCTTTGACTGTGGAGTTACGCTCGAGTAGGCGGCGCTCTACTGAGGTCTATATTACACGTACCCATATAAACCCACCCAAAACCCACCTCACTCCACTCAATTCCACTCTAACCTCCTCTACTCTACTCTTGAAAGAGAGTGTCTCAGGGGCAGATCGATAAGGAGCGTGGTTTGCCCAAGGGGTTTACGCTGGTACCAGCCTCCGTCGTTGAGTTTCTGAAATCGACGTAGCAAACGCTGTAACATTTCATTTTCTACAAACTTCAAATAATTTAAAGGGCCTTCTCACAAATTTATGCAATTCCACTAACATTTCTGTCATTTCTCCCAAAAGCAAACGTTGGAAATGTATTCTTATTAAAAATGCATATTTTTGTATAAAGAGTCTGTTTTCGGTCATTAAATTCAGAATGTTTTAAAGCATGTAATGTCAGGCCTCGAATAATATGACTTTCTTCACTTTTTCCCACTATTTTCAAAAAATGCAACATTTTTCGACTTATTTTAATAAAATGCGACTATTTCCACTTTTCTTCCTTTCTTCTTCGTTAAAAAACGCTACTTTTTTTGTGTAAAATGGTATTTATTTGAATTTTCAAAATGCAAAAAATAACTATAGTCCAATTTTTAAATCTTAAATTTGTTGCATTCTTTTCTAAAAATTCTAATATTATAGAATTTTTTGTATTTCAACATCAGTTGAATTCACGAAAAACTTTCTGAAAAATATTCAAAATAAGTGATTTAGAAGAAAAATTTTAATAAAATTCGGGACATTGAATTTAGAAAAAGTTGTAGTAGACATTTCTGTCAGTCCTGCCAGATTGGAAGATTTTTCTTCAAATCTAAAGAAAATTAAAGCAATCTGCGATATTTGAAGAATAATATTGTAAAAACTTGAAGATTTTTTTGAA